GGAAAACCAAAGACCAAACTCAACATGAAGTGTGTGTGTGTCGTGCATGTGAATTCATGCACATGAGTGGCATGTGACACTCGGGTCAGAGTGGGCCTTGCAAACATAGGCATCACATTTGCAGCATCTCAGGCTTGTTTTGTTGTCTCTAGGGGCACAGAGCTCACAACGCTTCCTTTTCTGCCCATGTCCTTGTTGGGGGAGAGCAGCCAGGGCTGGGGCTGGGGCTTGCACACTCCTAACCAGACTAGCAGAGGCTGGTGTGCGGGAAATGTGCTGGCACCGTTGAATAAGAGGAGTCACCAAAGCTTTCCCCAGCTCTGCTAGGAAAAGTCTCGTCTTGAAACTCTTCCCCTGAATCCAGGTTGGGTCGATGGCTGTCCACACCACATATGCGTTGAAAGCAGACTCATCAAGGATGTGTCCCCAAACACATGCTTCCCCTCCAGGTTTGTCATCTCCAGTATAATTCCCTCAATGGACTCTGGTAAAAAGAGTTGGAAGCTGGACTTGATGTCATCCACACGAGATGTCGCATACCGTGTTGGCCCTGGCGTCATCTTTATGATGTTTTCCTTGCTCTACTTCCTCTGTCCTGGGGGGATGAAGACCAGAGCAAGTGTCCACTCTTGGCCTGGAATGTCTCCTCAGGTGCCTGTTCTTCAGGTGCCTCTCCCTCTCCATCTGTTGACTGGTCAGTCTCCTCAAAGTCTGGATCAAAATCTGTGTTGTCTTCCACTTCCGAGACATCCTCCTCTATCTCTGGTTCAATTTCAGTGCCCTCTTCATCATGTCCAAAAACATGGACCAGAACCTCTTCGACAGAGAACCGCTTGGTCAGTCGCCTACTCATTGTGCTCAGAGTAAAAGGAGTGCAAGGCAAACATCAAGCTATATATATATGGGGTCTGTGTGAAGATGATACATTGATTAGTCTGGAAGGTGTGGTTCACGTGGGGGCTAGGCACAAAAGCGTGGGAAAGAGATGTGTACCCGCAAAAGACATTGTTCAGTCTGAAATGTTTGTGTGAGTGAGTGAGTTGGGGTGGTGTGTATGGGGATGTTTTCTGTCTGATGGATGAATATAGTCTGGATACCCATTCATTTCCTATGACGGTCACTTTTGACCGGGAACACCACAGGTGTAACAAGGTTGATTAAAACACTCAAAATTCAATGAAAGAGGTGATCATCACTTTTATATGTTCAAATGCATAGTGTGGAGGATATCATAAGGCCTTGAGGCAATCAGATGTAAAACACAATATTTGAGTTTTTTAAGTTGTAAATCGGTCCGATTTGACCCGAACACCACAGGAGGGTTTTAATTAAATTGTTCGCTACCAAAGTACTGCATTGCAAGACTCAAAGAGAATGGGAATTAAAATGCTGAAACAATCTTGCAGTATTTGATTAATCATTAGTAAATTGTTAAAGCTTCTAAAATTTGTGGATTTGCTGCTTTTTCCTGTTTTATATAATAGACAGTGTTCATTTATTTGGGACTGTTAGATTGAAGACACCAAATTGGGTTCTGGGAACTCATGAATAGGCATTTGAACTCTTCCCTGGTATTTTCTAGGCTAAACACTGAATCTTTGATCAAATTGAAGTCCTAACCTCATTATTTTTTGCTTTTTAGCTGTTGACACAAATGTCACAAATGTTGTTCTGTATACAACATAAAAACAAATCTATCCAACATGTGTTTTCAAGGACCCAGTGTTCATTTTCATTTTGTGTGTGTGTGTGTGTAATAGGTGTGGTGGAGTTGGCCAAGGCTATGGAGCAGCTGGGTATGTCCCCTGATGCTGACACTTTATCCGGCTACATCCTCCCTGTCTTTTCCAGCACTGAGGCAGCTCAACAGGCCCTCAAGGTAATCCATAAGTCTGTATTTGTGTGTGTGTGTGCATGCGGCAAGTGTGCATTAAACGCCAATTTTTTCTGTTTAGGATGCTGGCATATCTCTGGAGTCCAAGGGCCTCTTGTCTTCAGTGATTCGTTTGATGGCTCAAAGGGACCTGGCAAAAGCCTACACCCTGCGTAAGTCCACACACACGTAACCTAATACATTTTAAAAGTTAACCCCTAAATGAATTTTCAAATCTCTGACAGCCCTGTGAGAATTGTCCAAAATGTCCACACAACCATAGAAAAATGTTCACAAACACACAAACTCACATTTGCTACATTCTAAAGAGGCTCTACTGCATCTCGGGCACCCATCATCATAAAAATTCCTGCTTTGCCTGCGGGCTAATTGGCTCAGCGTTTTACACACACACTCATACATGTGCCCGCTTCTTCTGTGCTCACAAGGCCTTTTAAGAGATTAGCCAGGTTGAATATGTGAAGATCACAAATGAGAGGTGAGGGCGCAATAAAGAAGACGATTAAATAATAGACGACTCTTCCTGTTTTCTGTCTTTTATCTGGTTATAGTCTCAAACATTCATCACTGGTTTTCACATACGTAACTCCGTTTTCTCTGTGTATGTCACACTAGATGTTTCTCTCCTCACATGAGGAAAGTTTTCAGTGTTTTTCAACCTTTGATAGCAGTACTGCAGTGAGCACAGCGCCCTCTCAAAGTTTCCATCAATGAGTTTAAGCAGTTTGAATCCTAACTGGAAAGGTCAGGCTCTGGGAAGAGATTGGCACACGCTGCTCTTTTTATGAAAACTACCTTTGAGCTGGTTTCAGCTCGGTTGAAACTTCATTAGTTGTACCTGAGCTACAACATTAGATGCTTCCTAAAGTGAGCTTAATTACTTGGTGTGAGGCAGAACATTGCTGAAAAATTGCTAAATACAAGTTGTCTTTACAGCTTAGACTTCTGTTGCTGGGTCGCCAACATTATATTCCACATCATAAGTCACTTCACACTTAGAGACATTTTTGCTGTCTTTTCTTTCTTTCCCTGTAATCACTCTGTGTCTGTCTTCATTCCCAGTGTCAGATCCATCCTTCCCCTCTTTGGACCTCAATGCATTCCGTGGCAGCCTCATCACAGGCTTCAAAAAGTGAGTCAATGAGCCTGTTGTCCAGTCGGGTCTTTGTGTTGTCCCTCATTTGAAATTCTATATTTTACCTCCTAACTGCTCACTGGTGTTTTACAGAGGCATGTAGGACTGTGGAGGTCACTGCAGCATACGCTCTGAATATGACATGCAGCCTGTCACAGCTTTTACAGTGGTTGTGTATGTGGGCAGTTGCAGGAAAAACACTCCAGCTCCCACAGACACACACATACTGTATACATGGGTGCCTCATGCATATGGAGGCCGCCATCCTTCAGCCCTTGCCCCCAAAGCACCGTGGGAGATATGTAAATTAGCAGATACCCACCGCTGCCCTTCATACCCAAACCCCCAGACTGATCTCTCTCTCTCTCTCTCTCTCTCTCTCTCATACACTCACACACACAGTCAGCCTTAGGACCAGGGTCTTTCCCGTGGGCTTTTGTTGAAGGGGTGTTTATGAATATTTCCAGTTTAACACCACACACACCCACTCAAAAACACTCTGCCCCTGAGCAAAGCTGTAGGCGAGTCAAAGAGAAAAATGCTGACGTGTCTGCAGGGAATAAAGTTATTTCTTTCACTAAAAAGCAAAAGTTCACTGACTTGAGCTCAACTTTCAACTTCTACTTTAGCCAGTATCTGTTGTAACGTGTGAATAACTCAGCAGATGTTGGTAGAAAAAATGATGTGGTTTCTTCCCAGGAACACAGCCAGTCTTTTGAAAAATGTTGGTCAGTTTCAGATATTATTCAATTCAATAGCAGTGTTTTTTTTTTTTTTTTAGTTCATGGACATGTAAAAAAAAAACAAAAAAAAACAAGAAAACCAGGCCCTCTTTTTTGTGAACCTGCTCTCTTTCCTCCATTTGCTTTGCTCTCATTAGATTAACACGCACATACACACCCTTCTGACTGTTAGGTTGCCTGACAGGGTCATAATTGGACTTGTCACTTGGGGAATGTGTGTGTGTGTGCGTGCGTCTGTGCAAGCGCTGTGTCATTGCAATGCGGGACCTGCCCCTGTCAGAGATGAGGTCAGGGGATAATTTAATCATTAAAGACCTCTGCTACTCCCTTCTCATCTCTCAGCTCACCCTCTTTCCTCTTCTCCACCAACTAGTTGACAGTGCCAGAAATGTCACATGTTGTCATCATTCAGCCTGTGCGTGTATATGACTTTGTGTGTGTCTTTTGTGGTAAGCTTTTGTGCTGCCATCTCTCCTCTCTCACTTGTGCTGTGGGATTGAGAGAAATCTGCTGCTCTTACTAGCTGTATTTTAGTGTACTACACTGTCAGTAGCTATGTCAACAGCACACAGTCACTATTATGATTCCTTGAATTAAGCCCCATTTGCTATGAAAAAATGAATTCATACAAATAAACCCTGATTTCAAATATGCTTTCATATTTGAAAACCTATTTTGTAGTGCATAGCAATTTTATTATTCCAAACAGGTTAAAAAGGGAACTAGATTTTTGAAAATCTAATATATTCATATAGATTAATAATGTTTACATCCTGTTTCTACCTGTCGCTTTAATTTATAGCAACTTGAAATAAGTGCAAAAACAACAGATTAGCTCAAATTCCTTGTTCAATAATTGGCAATAACGAGAGTTGTGTTTTGAGACATTTCACAATATTGTGACTTGGCATCTTGCAACTTTACAATAATCATTTATGGGGAAAAAATGGCATGAGAAACAGTAAAAATGAGAGCTAAACATTTCTAGGGCTCGAGTTTTCATCAGAAATGTTCATGTTTAAAAGAAGAAATCACTAGGTGGTCTAGAAGCACCAAATTTCCAATAGCACCAAATTTCCAACAGTACTACTTGGCAAATCAGCTACAATATTTAGTCAAATGGATTCAGAAGGACGGTTACAACAGTGCATGGATAGAATTACAGCAAAATTACTCCAAAAATAACTCAGTTGCAGACCTTCCTTTTCTCAAAAACTCTACTAAGAAAATGAATCACTGTAAAAACATCACAATCCTCTCAACTCTGACAGCCTGGTGGAAAGCAAATAAAATCACTGTATCATCACTTGCACCATGTAGATACACTCCAATTTAGCACAACCCTGATTTTCAACTACATAATAACCCTATCTATTTCCCAACATGGCAACACAAAGGAATCACTCACTTACATCACCTATTTGAAAATAACCAGTTCATACTGTATCATTTAATACACTGATCCAGAAGTATGGAGTCCAGAGAGAACAGTCCTTCCAGTACAATCAACTAAAATACATAATTAAGTCAAAGATTAGTGTAACCAAAAACCCACTACAACCCTGCAAATTAATTGAAGAGATTATAAAAATTACAGCTTCCAAGAAAATAATATCCAAGCTATATAAACCAATATCAAATACAGATTCAACAATAACAATACCAAAACTCAAATGGGAAAACGATTTAACACTCTCCCTCAACTCTGACTTCTGGACAGAAATTTGCGATAGCAGTGACAGAGAAACTCTCCACCATCTTGGGCTGTAGAATCCCTCCTTCTCCATCACTTTGCTTACTCTGTAATATCATAAAAATCAACCACCTACCAATTAAATATAAAAACCCGCTCCTCATTTCTCTAGCTATTGCCAAGAAAACAATCTTTCAAAATTGGAAATCAAAAAGACCACTACACATAAACCACTGGACCAAACTTCTGATAGAATAACATCACATTATAGAAAATGACATCCACTCACAAGAATAGTTTATCTGCTTTTTATGACACATGGAACCCATTTTTAACACATTTTAACCTGAATCAAATACCTGGGCCTGAGGCCATGCACATTCCCACCAAAATGTAACAAGCTGATTTTATTAGTAGTACTGTTATCATCATTATTATTGGTAATTAAAAAAAAAAAAAATTTATTTACTTCCCCTCCTTTTCCCTTTCTTGCATTTCATAGACTGCATAAGTTGGAAATACTCACACTTCACACACTACAACCTTGTTAAACACTCTATATCCTTTTGTAATGTCATGTAACTGTTTTGTCTCCGTACTGTTTTGTTAATGTGTTACTTAGTTTCAATTTAAAAAAAAGAAATGTTCATGCAGTAGACACATCAAAGTTTGCAGTGTGTTATAAAAAGGGTTTTTAAGAGATGCCTTTTCAGAAATGTAAGTGATCTTTTATGTTTTGTGGCCTAAAAAGCAAAATGTATGAGCAAATGACACTGGAGTCTTGTTGAAAACTGTGTGCTCATGTCTTGTCCTCTACTGCCCCCTGCAGGTCTGCTGATGTGGAGAGCATGGCAAAGGTAAGATGGGAGTGAGCCCACATTGTGTGTCAATACACACAAACAGCATTTCTAAATTTGAGAAGAGCTCAGTGCACTTTCTGAAAACAGACCCTTTTTTTTTTCTTTGACTGTATAACAGCTTATTCCTTACAACAAAATAATTATGACCAATTTATTCACCATCTGTTATATTCTTGGTTTGGAAGAATATACAGTATAACAAATCTACTGGCTCTTTATCCAGATCTCCTTATGGCACAGTGGGTGTATAAATAAAGAATTGTTTAGCATCATCTGAATTTGGAGCACTTTTTTCATCCATCAAGACGGAAGTTTAGGTGATTTGCAAACATGAAAACAAAAAAAAAAAAGGAAATGTTTTGCTCCTAAACCTTTCTGTGATGACGGGTTTATTTCTCCTCTCACACACTAGAGTTTTTAAAGTGCAGTCCCTGTCCCGCTGTGTATGTGTTTGTATTTAAGCTGTTTTTCTTTTGTCCAGATTACTGAGCTCTTATACAAAGATGAGCGTTTCTCCACAGGAAGCGTCACACCTGCTGGTAAGGAACTATTTATGTCAGTCATATCTGACAGTGTCCTTGTGTGCAAGATGTGTATGTGTGCACAGGTGACAAACAGAGAGATAGGAGTGATGCCTGTGCGTGTATCATCTATCACATATCTGTGTTCAGACTTGCAGACTGCAGGCTCTGTCTCAGGCAGTCACCTTCCAGCTATAATTCAGATGACAGAAAAAATGCCTGGTGTGTAAGCGTGTGTATCTCTGTGTGTGTTTACATTCAGTCTCGGTAGCAGTAGACTGCTGACCAGCTCATTCCTTGTCATGAAGCCTCTGTGTGTTTATGTCCAGGTGTGTGTGAGTGAGAGATCTGCTCTCTCCACCAGAGAAAATGGAGCTTGGCTGCTGACACAGCGCTGAGTAGCTCAAGTGTATGATTGTCTGTTTGTACGTCATTGCAGGACAGTGTCTCCAGCTGGCTGTGTGTGTGGAGTGTCAGTGTTGCTTTGTGTCTGTACATGTCTTACAGCGTCTCCTCGGCACTGAAACTGGTGTGTGTGCTGGTGGGAGTGATGGAGACTGTTATCCATGTCACATCCTGTTAGACGGCATCTGCAAGTGTGTGTGTGTGTGTGTTAGAGAGAGAGGTGGAGTAGGGGGCAAGCTGTCACTGCCATGTTCACTCACGCTGCAGCACAAGAGCAGCCTCTGTCAGCAGAAAAACATACACTCTGCAAAGGTTACAGAAAGACGGCATAAATGCACAAATGGCTGTAGTGACTGACAGTGGCAAATGAAATTTATTCCCCAGACAGTTGCTCACGTGTGTGTGTGTGTGTGTGTGTGTGTGTTTCCCTCTCATCCAGAATCGGTATCATACTTCTTGTACAGTCTGATCAACAGCATACCAGAGGTGAAGGTGCATGAAGAGGAAGACAAACTGCGGAAATACTTCAATCAGCTACAGATTCGGGTACACAGACTCAACGATGATGAAAACAAACTCACCACGCATTCATATGCTGCATATCCAGTTCATTTGTAACCTTCCTGCTTTAGAGGAGCTTACACACTCTGATCTGAGATGATTTGCGGTGTGTAATCAGACTTGGATTTTACAGTTTCTGAAGAGTGAGTGTTTGAATTGGGGCCTCCAGACATGTTTTGGAAGACTAAATCATGTTTTACACTTTTTGGTTAAAGGTCAAGTCTTAAATGGCCGTCTGGAGCTCAGTAAAAAGTTTTCCTGGTCCAGTGTGAACAGAAATCATCCTCATATAAAACGATACCACCCATCATCCGACTGAGGATCTGCCCGAATGAGCTCTGCCAAAATCAAATGACATTTTCATGCTTGAAGGATTTTTTTTTCCTGTTTTGATAAAATGACATAAATGATGGATTGATTATCAGAATAGTTGGCTTTTCATTTGCACCTAACCCATTAATAGTTTCCACACTACTTTACATGCAGCTTACTACTCAACAAGGAATCATATATCAGCGAAATAGATGGCACTGAAACATTTTGTTTTCCAACTGAAATTTCAGTATTTATATTATTTTAATTTCTCCACAAATTCAAGTGTAAGCTCCGTGACAGCTTCAAAATTAAGCTTTGACTGAGATAAAATATTTTTAGCCCAGCTGAGGTTGTAAAAATTACTTTAGTGCTTTGTGTTTGGTGCGTTCAGCTACTGTTCAGACTTCTTGGAGCTACTGTTCAAGTCTTCTTGCGTTCGATGTGATTGACTTCTTGGAGCTACTGTTCAAGTCTTGCGTTCGATGTGATCAGTGCTTTGATGATGTTGATGCCTCTTCTTTACAGAATATAACCATTCCAGATAACATCTACAGGGGCATCAAGAACCTTCTGGAGTCTTACCACATCCCAGAGCTCATCAAGGTAGATGCTGTTTTTCCTCATGATGTTTTATATTAGTACAACTTCCAGATTATTGAGAGTCACAAGCATCAGTAGAGTAGACAGCAGCCAAAAGCACAATGCAGCCAGACTGAGGGGGTATTTGTTCTGCCTGTGTTTCTGCACTGTTCACGCTGTTGTCCTAATGATGCAAGAGTGTTAACTGTGTGTGTGTGTATTGTTAGGATGTGATCACTTTGGTGGAACCCACAAGCCAAGTGCACAGTGGCTATGTGCCAGCTGTTTCCAACGGCAAAGTAAGTAGGGCAGTGTGAAAGATTTGTACAAAATATCAAAATGCAATATAATTATTTATTGTGTATTAATGTTGGGGAAATCTGTAGTGCTCGGACTTCACTTTTAGATTTATTTTACTTAAGAAAGAATTGGTACATCACCACACTTTGCCTCACGGATTCCTTGATTTGTGTCATTGTGTATGATTAGTTTTTTATTTTTTTTCTGCAGTTAATTTCGAACAACTTGTCTGTGGAGACGAGTGTGCATGCGTGACATGTATTGTCTGTTAGAACAAGCCCATGTACACGTGAAGTGGTGTGTTTATGTATTTCGTCATGTACATGTGTTTAACGCCTCTCTGTCACCATCAGAGAAGTGAAGTTACGTTGTTGGAACTGGAGCAGAAGTTAGCTGAGCTGGAGGCAGAGAACAAACCATTAGGCTCTGTTTTCAAACAGACCATCCAAGCTCTTTGTGTCGAGGAGGTAGGATTTGTTTGGATAGCTCCGTCTCACAAAACCTCTTGTTTTTCACAAAATTATTTGCTTTGTCTGGTTTCAATCATGAGATCATTTTATTGTGTGATCAGAACCTGCAGCGTGCCCTTGAGCTGCAGCAGAAGCATGAGGAGGAGATGACAGTCGGCCTTTATGCCACCCTCATCAACCTGTGCTGTCACCACGACAATGTAGAGGAGGCGCTCAACCTGAAGAGGGAACTGTGAGTGGAGCACACAAATGCCCAACACACACGAGGCAACGCTGCAACCAATAGCAGGCCATTAAAGTTTAACTGGAATGGTATTAAGGGAGATGACAATGCAGAGTCCGGCTTCTCTGTTGACTAGCTAAAACACGGGGAAACTCCCCCCTCTTCATCCCCCTTGTTTCCTTCTCTTGACTCACCACCAGGTCCCAGCATCAGACTGCACTACAACAGATAAAATGAGTTATTCTATGTGGAATACATTCATTAAGTCTGTCTTTCCCTTCTCTGTCTTTAGGAGTCGCAAGGACTCCTCAGCAGTGCTGGATGCCAGTAAATATATCGCGCTCATCAGGTTGCTCTCCAAGAATGACAGGGTGGAGGGTAAGTTCCTGTTGGGCTGCAGCTAATTACTTCCATATTTGATTAGTATGCTGACTTTTTTGGTAAATTATTGCATTTATGAAGTGTCAGATAAATAATAAACCTTGCACAGCCACACAAAATTATTACAGCTGATTGTTTTGTGCATCCAGCTGTCCAGAACTCAAATGTCATTTTTGTTTGAAGGATTTAAAACGATTAATCAATTATCAAAATGGTTTTTAAACTTTGTGTCAATTGGCTAATTGAATAATTGACTGATTTCACAGTACTGTTTCTCTGACAGTTAGCTGGATCAAAGGAGATCAGGCTTGAACTTACAAAGGCCTACAGATTTGTGTGTGTCACCAACTCTGTCAAAATCTTTCTCCCTCCCTCAAACCACATTAGCCAACCATTTCCAGAATGCTACGGTGGATTTCCTTCAGCCCATTGAAGACCCAATTACCATCAGTTTTGCCGCTCTGCTTTTTGCACACAATGACAGGAAAAACGTTTCCCTCGTCTGTCCTCGCCTTTCCTCCCCTTCGATCTCCCGCGCTCTTCGTCTCTCTATCTGACCCACTCTGTCTCAAAGCGTGACATCCCCCCCCCCACACACATATCTGCATCAGTGAGAAATGAGAGAGGGGGAAAATTACAGGACTGTGTATTTTTCCAGAATTATTGAAATCTGCCTTGATGCTAATGGCATATCATGCCCACCGAAGTGCTTGAACATTTCACACACACACATAGAGTGACATGCAAATTTGCATGTGAATTCAAGCAAAAGGCATTTGCTGGGCATGACGGTTGGTGTATCCATCTGTGTGTGTGTGCGTGTCAGGGTGTGTATAGGCAGTGCTGACGCATTTGCCATTAGCCACAGCGTGTGTATGGAGGGGACGCTTGTCAGCCACATTAGCACACATGGCTAACCTTGATGTTAGCCCGTCCCCACCCAGATGCTTTGTTCTTTGACAACTTTTTATAACCGCTTCCTTTAGTTCGAATCCATCCATCCATCCATCCATTTTCCTCCACTTATCTGGGACCGGGTCACGGGGGCAGCAGTCTAAGCAAAGATGCCCAGACTTCCCTCTCTCCAGACACGTCCTCCAGCTCCTCCGGGGGAATGCCAAGGCGTTCCCAGGCCAGCCGAGAGACATAGTCCATCCAGCGTGTCCTGGGTCTTCCCCAGGGCCTCCTCCCGGTGGGACATGCCTGGAACACCTCCCTAGGAAGGCGCCCAGGAGGCATCCGAAACAGATGCCCGAGCCACCTCAGCTGGCTCTTCTCGATGTGGAGGAGCAGCGGTTCTACTCTGAGCTCCTCCCGGGTGACCGAGCTCCTCACCCTATCTCTGAGGGTGACCGAGCTCCTCACCCTATCTCTAAGGGTGACCGAGCTCCTCACCCTATCTCTAAGGGTGACCGAGCTCCTCACCCTATCTCTAAGGGCGACCGAGCTCCTCACCCTATCTCT